ACCAAACAACCCACCCGTTCACCCACTAACCCACCCACCAAACAACCCACCCATCCACCCACTAACCCACCCACCAAACAACCCACCCATCCACCCACTAACCCACCCACCAAACAACCCACCCGTCCACCCACTAACCCACCCACCAAACAACCCACCCGTCCACCCACTAACCCACCCACAAAACAACCCACCCACCCACTAACCCACCCACCAAACAACCCACCCACCCACTAACCCACCCACCAAACAACCCACCCGTCCACCCACTGACACACCCACCAAACAACCCACCCTTCCACCCACTGACCCACCCACCAAACAACCCACCCATCCACCCACTAACCCACCCACCAAACACCCCACCCATCCACCCACTAACCCCCCCACCAAACAACCCACCCATCCACCCACTAACCCACCCACCAAACAACCCACCCGTCCACCGACCCACCAAACAACCCACCCGTCCACCCATTGACCCACCCACCAAACAATCCACCCACTAACCCACTGACCCACCCACCAAACAACCCACTCACTAACCCACTAACCCGCCCACCAAACAATCCACCCACTAACCCACCCACCAAACAACCCACCCGTCCACCCACTAACCCACCCACCAAACAACCCACCCGTCCACCCACTGACCCACCCACCAAACAACCCACCCATCCACCCACTAACCCGCCCACCAAACAACCCACCCATCCACCCACTTACCCACCCACCAAACAACCCACCCATCCACCCACTGACCCACCCACCAAACAACCCACCCATCCACCCACTAACCCACCCACCAAACAACCCACCCATCCACCCACTAACCCACCCAACAAACAACCCACCCATCCACCCACTAACCCACCCACCAAACAACCCACCCATCCACCCACTAACCCACCCACCAAACAACCCACCCGTCCACCCACTGACCCACCCACCAAACAACCCACCCGTCCACCCATTGACCCACCCACCAAACAACCCACCCATACACCCACTAACCCACCCACCAAACAACCCACCCGTCCACCCACTAACCCACCCACCAAACAACCCACCCGTCCACCCACTTACCCACCCACCAAACAACCCACCCATCCACCCACTGACCCACCCACCAAACAACCCACCCGTCCACCCACTAACCCACCCACCAAACAACCCACCCATCCACCCACTAACCCACCCAACAAACAACCCACCCATCCACCCACTGACCCACCCACCAAACAACCTACCCGTCCACCCACTAACCCACCCACCAAACAACCCACCCATCCACCCACTAACCCACCCAACAAACAACCCACCCATCCACCCACTAACCCACCCACCAAACAACCCACCCATCCACCCACTAACCCACCCACCAAACAACCCACCCGTCCACCCACTGACCCACCCACCAAACAACCCACCCGTCCACCCATTGACCCACCCACCAAACAACCCACCCATACACCCACTAACCCACCCACCAAACAACCCACCCGTCCACCCACTAACCCACCCACCAAACAACCCACCCGTCCACCCACTGACCCACCCACCAAACAACCCACCCATCCACCCACTAACCCGCCCACCAAACAACCCACACATCCACCCACTAACCCACCCACCAAACAACCCACCCATCCACCCACTAACCCACCCACCAAACAACCCACCCATCCACCCACTAACCCACCCACCAAACAACCCACCCATCCACCCACTAAGCCACCCACCAAACAACCCACCCATCCACCCACTAACCCACCCACCAAACAACCCACCCGTCCACCCACTAACCCACCCACAAAACAACCCACCCACTAACCCACCCACCAAACAACCCACCCACCCACTAACCCACCCACCAAACAACCCACCCGTCCACCCACTGACCCACCCACCAAACAACCCACCCGTCCACCCACTGACCCACCCACCAAACAACCCACCCATCCACCCACTAACCCACCTACCAAACAACCCACCCATCCACCCACTAACCCGCCCACCAAACAACCCACCCATCCACCCACTAACCCACCCACCAAACAACCCACCCGTCCACCCACTAACCCACCCACCAAACAACCCACCCGTCCACCCACTGACCCACCCACCAAACAACCCACCCATCCACCCACTAACCCGCCCACCAAACAACCCACCCATCCACCCACTAACCCACCCACCAAACAACCCACCCATCCACCCACTGACCCACCCACCAAACAACCCACCCGTCCACCCACTAACCCACCCACCAAACAACCCACCCATCCACCCACTAACCCACCCACCAAACAACCCACCCATCCACCCACTAACCCACCCACCAAACAACCCACCCATCCACCCACTAACCCACCCACCAAACAACCCACACGTCCACCCACTGACCCACCCACCAAACAACCCACCCGTCCACCCACTGACCCACCCACCAAACAACCCACCCATACACCCACTAACCCACCCACCAAACAACCCACCCATCCACCCACTAACCCGCCCACCAAACAACCCACCCATCCACCCACTAACCCACCCACCAAACAACCCACCCGTCCACCCACTAACCCACCCACCAAACAACCCACCCGTCCACCCACTGACCCACCCACCAAACAACCCACCCATCCACCCACTAACCCACCCCCCAAACAACCCACCCCTCCACCCACTACCCCACCCACCAAACAACCCACCCAACCACCCACTAACCCACCCACCAAACAACCCACCCATCCACCCACTAACCCACCCACCAAACAACCCACCCATCCACCCACTAAGCCACCCACCAAACAATCCACCCGTCCACCCACTAACCCACCCACCCAACAACCCACCCGTCCACCCACTAACCCACCCACAAAACAACCCACCCACTAACCCACCCACCAAACAACCCACCCACCCACTAACCCACCCACCAAACAACCCACCCGTCCACCCACTGACCCACCCACCAAACAACCCACCCGTCCACCCACTGACCCACCCACCAAACAACCCACCCATCCACCCACTAACCCACCTACCAAACAACCCACCCATCCACCCACTAACCCGCCCACCAAACAACCCACCCATCCACCCACTAACCCACCCACCAAACAACCCACCCATCCACCCACTAACCCACCCACCAAACAACCCACCCGTCCACCCACTGACCCACCCACCAAACCACCCACCCACTAACCCACTGACCCACCCACCAAACAACCCACCCACTAACCCACTAACCCGCCCACCAAACAATCCACCCACTAACCCACCCACCAAACAACCCACCCGTCCACCCACTAACCCACCCACCAAACAACCCACCCGTCCACCCACTGACCCACCCACCAAACAACCCACCCATCCACCCACTAACCCGCCCACCAAACAACCCACCCATCCACCCACTAACCCACCCACCAAACAACCCACCCATCCACCCACTGACCCACCCACCAAACAACCCACCCATCCACCCACTAACCCACCCACCAAACAACCCACCCATCCACCCACTGACCCACCCACCAAACAACCCACCCGTTCACCCACTAACCCACCCACCAAACAACCCACCCATCCACCCACTAACCCACCCACCAAACAACCCACCCATCCACCCACTAACCCACCCACCAAACAACCCACCCGTCCACCCACTAACCCACCCACCAAACAACCCACCCGTCCACCCACTAACCCACCCACAAAACAACCCACCCACCCACTAACCCACCCACCAAACAACCCACCCACCCACTAACCCACCCACCAAACAACCCACCCGTCCACCCACTGACCCACCCACCAAACAACCCACCCGTCCACCCACTAACCCACCCATAAAACAACCCACCCACCCACTAACCCACCCACCAAACAACCCACCCACCCACTAACCCACCCACCAAACAACCCACCCGTCCACCCACTGACCCACCCACCAAACAACCCACCCATCCACCCAACCCACCCACCAAACAACCCACCCATCCACCCACTAACCCGCCCACCAAACAACCCACCCATCCACCCACTAACCCACCCACCAAACAACCCACCCGTCCACCCACTAACCCACCCACCAAACAACCCACCCGTCCACCCACTGACCCACCCACCAAACAATCCACCCACTAACCCACTGACCCACCCACCAAACAACCCACCCGTCCACCCACTAACCCACCCACCAAACAACCCACCCGTCCACCCACTAACCCACCCACCAAACAACCCACCCATCCACCCACTAAGCCACCCACCAAACAACCCACCCGTCCACCCACTAACCCACCCACCAAACAACCCACCCGTCCACCCACTAACCCACCCACAAAACAACCCACCCACTAACCCACCCACCAAACAACCCACCCACCCACTAACCCACCCACCAAACAACCCACCCGTCCACCCACTGACCCACCCACCAAACAACCCACCCCTCCACCCACTAACCCACCCACCAAACCACCCACCCATCCACCCACTAACCAGCCCACCAAACAACCCACCCATCCACCCACTAACCCACCCACCAAACAACCTACCCGTCCACCCACTAACCCACCCACCAAACAACCCACCCGTCCACCCACTGACCCACCCACCAAACAACCCACCCACTAACCCACTGACCCACCCACCAAACAACCCACCCGTCCACCCACTAACCCACCCACCAAACAACCCACCCGTCCACCCACTGACCCACCCACAATACAACCCACCCATCCACCCACTGACCCACCCACCAACGCGATCGCCCACCCACCAAACCACCCACCGACCGACCCGCCCACCCACGCACCTGCTCTGCCCAACCCACCCGTCCGCCCGCCGACCCACCCACCATCGCACCCGCTCGCCCACCCACCAAAAACCACCCGCCCACCAACCCACCCACCATCACACCCGCTCGCCCACCCACCAACCCGCCCGCCCACCGACCCACCCACCCCACCGTGCCCCCGACCCACCACAGTAAGTGTAGATGTGTCCGCACTCGGAGTAGCGGACACGGAGATTGTGCAGAACGGCAGCCTCGTGGAGGTGGCTCAGACAGGTGAGGTCGTTCTCGCCCACCAGGATGTCCGGGTTCCTCAAGAACGGCCATGGCGGAGGCGACGAGGATGAGGAGGATGAGGAGGACGAGGAGGAGGATGATGAGGAGTAATTCACCAAAGCTGCCGTCGCCGGGTCGACCGCCTGCGTCACTTCCTGCCGTTGTGACGTCACCGGGGGGGGGGAGGAGCCGCGCGTCACCGCGGGAGAGAGAGGGGTGAGCGATGTGTGGGCGTGGTCACACGGCGGCGCGCGCGGTGACGTCATTAACGTCACCCCCCCCCCCTCCGCGTGGGTTAGGGGGACGGTGGGGGTGGGGGCGTGGCTACACGGCGGCGCGCCAGGTGGCGTCATTAACGTCACTCCACCCCTCCTCGTGGGTTACGGGGAAGGGGGGGGCGTGGCCACACGGCGGCGCGCGCGGTGACGTCTTGAACGTCACTCCCCCCAACCCCTCCTCGTGGGGTCGGGGGACGGGGGGGCGTGGCCACACGGCGGCGCGCGCGGTGGCGTCATTAACGTCAACTCCCCCTCGTGGGAGGAGGGAAGAGGGGGGGGCGTGGCTACACGGCGGCGCGCGCGGTGACGTCATTAACGTCACTCCCCACCTGCTCGTGGGTTAGGGGGAAGGGGGGGGTGGGGGCGTAGCCACACGGCAGCGCGCGCAATGACGTCATTAAAGTCACTCCCCCCGAGTGGGTGGGGGGAAGCGGGAGGGAGGGGAAAGGGGAGGAGCCACAGACCCTGGCTCAGCCAATCTCCATCCATTCCATCTCACTCCCT